AATGAACATCAAGCCAAGATATGATACACATTTCAATTTAGTGTAATTGTTGTTAAATGATAATTAATTTAGAGGCAGCATTTTCAGAACATACATGTGTGTTTACTTAGCGATCACAACACATTGTTTGATCTGCTAGTATATAAAGTTTTGCCATGATTTTGAAACTTCAGTCTTAACTGCGGAGGCATAGCCCTGCAGTCGCATTTTGAAACCGTTTTCTACTGAGAACTACTAGTAAGTACTGAAGTTTAGAAACTTTTTTATTATTAAGTGCGCGGTACGTAAAATCGCGCTAATATCTGGAATATTCCATTTGATCTGTAAACTTTTCGGATCATCACAGTGTCGAACTGTAAATATTATATTAGTGCGACATTTACTTCATTGTTAAAAAACGTGTGAATTCATAAACTATATTAGCTTCGCAACTTTTATTAAATAATAATCAAACGTGCTGATAGTGAGATTTTACCTATTAGTACTTAATGCATTTAATTAATGCAATCTATGTACATTTTTATTAAATTTAGAACTTATTCATTATTTAATAGTTCCTAATCGACTCAATCCGCAAAACGGACGCTCGCTAAATTATTTTTGCATGAAAGAAAACGTTGCTAGAGCTCTAAAAGTGCTACTCCAAAGCAACTATATTTTTCATAATTTCAAAACTGACACAAAATAAACAATTTTACAGTAGAACGTAAAGAGAAACAAAGTTTTATAGAATCACATTCTTCTAAATAATACTAGAAAAATATTTTTCTAGCAACTCTTCATGTTACATGATTGGAATCTGATTTTTTCAGTCAACCAAATCCTATCGAGCATTTTTGCATGCCATTGAAAATATAAGTTTCTATCTTAACTGTATAATTTTTCATACTCAACTCAAGTCGCAATATTTATTATTTAACTACATTTTTTCCGCGGTTGTTTATGACCGTTTTATGTTAATAATAACAGTAAAAATACAAAATGTAGTTCTTTGTTAGATCTGAAAGCCTCAAACAGATTAGTTGTCATTAAAAAAACAAATTCAAGTCTCAACAAAAATCAAATAGAGTCAGACAATGCTTCGTTTGATTTAGAGTAACATTAATTTTCTAACACTTGAAAAATTTTGGGTTTGCTTATTATCGATTTAATTCACCAAACAAACTTGTCCTTTATCTAATAGGATTTAAAGTTCTCTTATAACTCAAACTAAAACATGGAAATAAAAATTTGAATCTTTAGTTGAATACCCCACAGAAACTGAGAAGAATAAAGAACACAGAAACTGATAAAATAAATTCAGTTTTTGTACACGGCTGTTTTTACATTTTAGGCTTTAATTTGTCTAGAGTTCATTTTAAGTTTTGTTGAATTATGTGTTATGTATATTATGTTATATTGTTAGAATCTCAATATATGCTGCATACACTAGTTTTATTTTGAGTAATAATTTTTATACTCAACTCATTAAAATATTATTTAGAAAAGACTTGTTTTCTACTTAAATCAAAACAAAAAACGAAATTAATACGCACAATAATAAATGTAATACATATTTATTATACGTACCTAAAAAAAACGCGATCGTTATTAAAATGTATTACATTCATTTTAGACCAGTTTATTTTTAAGACGGCCAGAAGCCAGAGTGCAAGTTAACACGTTACTAATAAATGATAGTTAAATTAACAATAGAGTGGGTCTATGACTCAATTTTGAAAGCCTTATAACACATTAGTTAATTTGAAAATTGTCTAATAAAAGGAAAATCCGAAAACAAAATCTATTAAGCACATTCAAAAAATATATATTTTAGCCAATTAACAAATACTGTATACATATCTAGAGACTTTATATTTTTTACGCACATCAATAATATGTTTGAGCACTTAGTTTAAGCAGTTAGCAAAATATTAATTAAAGAAAAATATTTTGATGGTTTTTCTTAAAATCAGGAAATTTTCATTCAAGAATAGTGGTTTTCAAGCAGGTTTGTTAATTAATTTTGACATGACGTTTTGGGATTTTACTTAACACCCATTAATTACCGCCTGTTACATTAACGATGATAATAGATTTTAAAGGATTGAGAAAGATAGATGAAAGAACAGGTTCGAATCAGCAGCATTAGCAGCAAATTGATAATGAATTTATTATTTAACACCATGAGTATTTACGGGAATTGGTAGGAAAGTGTGTCAAGTTTTGGTAATTTTGCATAAACAACTAGATGCGAGATCTTTTTAAGGTCACGTTAAAGATTATTTTCGAAAATAATAAAAAGTGAAACAAGTTGCGAACATCTAAATCAAATACATTTCGGAACTGATATCTAAGATTAGATTATTTTAAGTTAAAAGATATCATTTTCAAATTAAACTGAAAGATTCAAGCTGCTAAATCTTCGTTAATATAGACACAAGCGTCATGCGTATTCTTGTTGAAACCAGATTTAATAAAAAGTTTAATTAAGCATGGAAATATTGAAGTGTGTACAGGATGCAACATATTTTTCTTTCCTGTATTAGTGCAACGGAAATTAAGTTTTACTTTTAGCCAATATAATGACAAAAGAGTTTTATCGTGAGGAAAATTATCAGCTCAGATTCGAATGAAGGATGTTAAAACAATGGCCCGTTTAATCAATTGCTAGAATATTTAACAATGACAACTGAAACATTCCTGCTTTCGCAAATTGTATCTTTCTATTACAAAGGAAAGTTATCGATAATTAATTCATGTGCGTCTGAGTCATATGAATTATTCTTAACTCAATAGCTGGTGTTTTCTCACTATTTTTTTATAATTTTAACAGCCATTCTGAGAACTGCGACTGATTTTTCCAATTTACCGGAAGCTGCAGCTTAACACTTTTTAGGCCTTTAATGGTTAGAAGATGGGATGTGATAAATAAAAAATAATAATCTAATTCCAGATAATGTTCGAAATGCGTTAATTGTATAAACGATGTAAATATAATTTAAATAGATCTTGCACGAATTGCCATTCTTGAGGTCGAAACTGTAATCATTGACGATCTCGTGATACTGTTTTCTCAGAATATCTCTTACTTTATGTTATTTAGAATACGAATTTATTTTAGTCATATAATGATTAAGTTTATCTTTATCATTAATATGAATATACACAAATATAATGTGCCATTTGCGTATGTAATGCGTCAGAGAAACTTTTTGACGAAGTACACAATGCACACTAGGTACGAAAAATTAAATCTTACCGTCTATGAGATTGATTGCTGGCTTCGCTGTGTATTATTCTTTGTTTCCCTTATTTTTGAGAATTTATCAACAATTTGCTACTAATGTTAATAATAAGAATATAATCAAATCAAAAAGGCACTATGTCAAAGATTGTTATCATGTTAGAGCAAAATTTGCAAAATGTCGAGTCTGATGTATAATGTATTGGAAACTTAATGTGGTTTTGTTATTTTATTTATTAGCTTACCCTGTCTACTATTTTCCAATGAACATTCTTCAAAATTTCAATATCTATTTACGTCGGGATAAGATACATTCAGATGAATGTATTTTCATTAGTATTTTAATGTTCAGCCAATTAATTAATCCATTCCCATATTTTAGTCGATTTTTTATTTGCGATTCTTTATTAACAAATGTTGCAACAAATTTTGTTTATACAACTTTAAATATTGATATTTCAAGTGCAGACTACGAACGGCTGGGGCTTATGATGTGTGTTTTCATTTCCGAAATAGCAATTGGAAATTTTTAAAATGCCATCCTGTAAAATTAAGAAATTTTGCATATGGTAAAAAATTATGAGCTGAGAAGTTAAGAGGTAATGTGCAAACCGATTTAAATTCAACGTAATATTCAGGGCAAAAAACAAAGGAGTCTAAGTCAATGGTTCGGAAGAAGAGCAAATTGGGCTCCAGTAGCATCAATTGATTAACATTTACATTTGAAAATAAAGTTCTCTTTTTAATTGGAAGCTCTCATTAGATAGCAATGAGCATTCGATTATTTTGTATACTTAAAAACGCATACTTTTAGAAGAATTATACGATTTTTTATAAAATATCTTTTTAGCAAAGTAACATTCCGATTCCACTCTCGGACATTTTTGTTCCGATTTTTTATCTTGAAATTTTGGCCGCAAAAGTCGCGAGCAATCTAATATATCAGTTTTGTTTTCGAAACTCTGAAGTACTTTGGAGGACATATTTAAATACTCAAAAACAGCTAAATATAGATAACGCAATACATTCATGTAAATTAGGGCAACCGTTACTTTACTTCAATCGAGAACCAATGTATAAATTTTAATTTTTTTTCAGTGGATGATTGTGTTTTTTAGTCGATTGCCTCTTGTTTCTAACTATGTACATCAGATGAAGCATAGAAGTTAGTATTTAATATCTAAATTTTACAATGCACATTAATAGTACCACATAGCCCTCATATTTAACGTCTCGTATTAAGAAGTTTGATCATTGATCCAAAGAGCGGAATATAGTTGTATATATACATGTTTGCTTTTACGTAAAAATGGCAATTACCCGCGCATGTGAGAAGAACCAAAAACTAACTAAATGTTTCACTGGTTACTACCAGTAGTAGAAAAGTCTATAATAATGTTTAAAAAAAAACACAAAATAAAATATTAATGTTTTAAATATTTCAGTCAGATGCTATAATTGTTGCACGTGCGATGTTTCCCCATTAGTAGCACGTTTTCGTCCACGTTAGTTTGCAAAAATCTATTTAAAAAAAAATAAAAACATGTTGCACGGGATCACTGAATAGCGCAAAGTGCTAACTGAGTGTTGATCATCTACAGCTCCAAAGTGGTTCATTCGCATCTCAACTTTCTTAATAATTTGTGAGTAATCCGTTTCCCTTCTTTTCCACATATTAACACGACTGAAGTTGATAAGCAAAATCGCTTATAATCCCACTATATTACCGATTCACCAGTTTGTAAAGGTACTGATAATCAGTTAATTCAGGTGTACCAACGGTTCGGGTCCTCCATTCAAATCATTGCGTTGAAGATTGTACCGTCGAAGTGACCAGTAGTAGTACCGTACCGCGTTCTTTTAGTTCGGTTCGTTCAATTATTAAAAAAATATATTAACCAAAATTATTTAAAGTGGTCACTCTTAATTTTCATTCTATTTTTGAAATGTTTGTTGTTTTAAAAACCTACTCATACGTTCTTGTAAATGAAGTTCTGTGACAGAGCGGAAACCGGACAAACTTTTGAAATTCGTAAGTTAAAGGATTGTCTAGTGTAAAATATTTTATATTTTATTAATTCCTCCAACGTGATTAGATATATCATCTAATCCCCAAAAAAAAAACATTTTTCACTGCATTTAAGAACATAATAACAGAAGAAAATAATAGCATGTTCTTCATATCATTAGTTCCGTTATATTTGGCTGACACTAATAATTAACTAATTTTTTAAAGTAGCTTCCAAACATCAGTGTTTGGGTTTTCTGCAACCAGAAAATTGTTTTTAATATAAAGGACCTTCCTATATTGTTGGTCAGTAATTACATCAACTTATAAATATCGCTAAATTGTTGCTGTTGGTAAACTACCCAAACTTAAATAAAATATTTAAGCGGAAAACTCGGTAAACGATTTTTACGGAGTTTGTATAGGATTTTTTATTGTTCTGTTATTAGTCTTTGCATGAGTCTTTCAGCCCCCACTTTATCTGTACATTTTGCTGAATTATTGACATTAACAGCCAATTGAACAGCAATTCTACAACAATTGACTTATATACTTACTCATTCCACATTATTCACTATTATCGAACGTATAAACTTTGCGTTGATAAAATATCTGCGAATAATCAATTGCATTTAATTTGCCTATTAATTTCAAGGAACTGAGAACTAGCCGTCTTATTGTTAATATTTTACCTGATTGCTGATAATTAATAGCTAAACATTATTATAAACAATATAGGAAGCATGTCATACGTAATATGCATTTCTTGAAAGTAGGGATTCGTAGACGGTTCTGTATCTGATTTACTAATATTTCAAACACCCGCTTAATTGAAACAGGACGGTTTAAGAAATATGCTCATGCTTGCGAAACGCCAAGATAAAATCTTGCCACGACGGCGTAAAAGCCCGAAAAGATCTCCAGTTTCAAGCAAGAAAGCCTAACTTTTTTAATACCCATATAATAATTTGTGGATATTTTGGATCCGAATTTTTTAAATTGACATTAATTAATCCCATTTACTTTTTCAACACGTTAAAGTGTAGCTAGTAATTATATTTGCTACATAATTGAAGCTGATATTATGAGCAGGGTGAAATGGACTATTCAATTTTAAATCTCTTATCCCAATCAATGTCGAAGTTGTTGTTTATCAAATTATAGTTTTTTTTCTGTATTCTCCTTCTTGTTATAGTTGATTTGTTTTCCTTACATGGCATTATTGAAGCATTTTCCTCATTTCATTGAATAGATTTTCTCAATGTAAAAAGTGCATCAAACTTGACAATAGCCTTGTGAAATACAAGTAAGGATAATCCATTTGAAACTTGAGCGAATTTCCTTATGCCTGCTTTTGGCATTGAATATTTTCGGTGTGTTTTATATTGCAGCTTAGCGTTACAACAATTAGATCCTACGCAGCATCTTCAGAAATTCTCACACTGTTTTTACAGCAGGAAATATTAAGTTGATAACAGCGTTGCTATTTGAGCAATCTTGTGCTACAATTAAATATTATAAGTCCATAAATGATCTACAAGTGCTATTTGAACTGTGAAAACTTAGCAAGAAAAAAATTCACGTTTTTAGTCTGTAGCCTTTAAGCGAATTAGACTCAAATCTAATTCGATTAACTGAAGTTCAAGTTCGGCTAAATTAGACAAACAACGCATCAGTATAATTACTTTCAAAACAGAAAATTAATTGATACATTTTCTTAATTGTCGTAAATTTACAGCCAATTAAAAACTACGCTGAATATTTCCTTAAACAGACAAAATAAAGCAACACGCCATCGTTGGACACACATTTAAAGGAGAAAAACTCTGACAATGACTTCCATCAACCAAATTGTTTTCAATTACAAATTAATTAAGCTGGTTGTTATTTAGTTCAATTGACATAATAAATCGGTGAGTAAAATAAATCGTAAGCAAGCTCCTTGGCTTATGCAGAGAGATTATTCAGTCTAACCTTCCATAAGAAGTTCGAAAGTTCAATGAGGATTATTTGAATTAAATCACAAGGTTTTAACATGTGAATCGGTATAGTTCGACCAAGATTTATCAAGTTATGCGCTGCTGTATTTTAAAACATGCTTATAATGATTAGTTGAAGATAATGCATGTGTATACGCGATTTAAATATTAATTCTATCTGCACGTAGCCGAATTGGCTTTCTTAAAACCATTAATTCTGAAAATAGAATCAACAATTAATATAGGAAGACTGATATTGCCTATCGACAATCAAACATATCGGCAATGATAATTAATGGCGACTGAGTAATATTTTTGCGGAATACAGTATATAATCGCAGCCATAATATTATTAGGTATTTTACTATACATAACAGGCACATACTTATTACAGCATAATTTCTCCAATTATATAAGTGTTGCCCTGTAATTGAATCAAATAGCGCAAAACTGGAAATGTGTCCAATAGATTAATGTTTTCATTCACTTCAATTACACCATATATTTATTATCGTTAGCTCAATATATTAACAAGAGTAATTAATTAGATTTTAACACAAACGTGTAACGGCATGTCTGTACATCATATATCGAATCAACCTTTAATAAATTGAATCGCTAATAAAAGGAATCACACTACTATAAATTTGCTTTGCATTTTTCTCATTAATTAAGTCTAATGGGCTAATGGCATAAACAAGTACAAAATGATTATGAGGATTACTCGTGCGAACAATAAAATATTTACTTGTCTCTGATTGAAATGGGGCAATCATTTTAAACGTTATATTAAGCAAAACATATAATTGTAAATCGCTGAAAATCATGATCAATTCAGCAGCGCCTATTAAACTTTTCAGAGCTTTCATTAGAACAACCGACCGCAACCCCCACTGAGTGCCGCCCTCAACAACAACCCCAAACATCGAAGAAGTCAACGTTTGCTGCTGCGCAAAGTTAAATTCCAATCGCCTGCTACATAGAATGGTAGAAAGTGAACCACCTATAAAACCCAAAGAAAACTGTGATGTAAATGAGAGGCGCCCCTTAAACGGCTGTGGATCCAGAGATCTTGAGCTAACTAATCATCAGACTGTAGTCAAGACTGACCAACCAAAGGTATGTGCAGGAAAAGAAGGTTGAATAGTTGCCATTGACATAGGAAACTAATGGGGGTTTGTTGATTGTAGGCTCCTACCGATGTAGAAAAAGGCAGCAGCGACAAAGCTGATTTTGAGAGAGCCATCGAACTTACTGAATATGGCAAATTTCATTATCTACTACTAGCAATATGTGGCTTCGTAAGTACTTCGGAAGAGATGGATGTCATCTCGATGTCATTCATTCTTCCTTCCGCTCAATGCGATCTGGACCTGAACACTCAATCCAAAGGATGGCTCAACTCCATCATCTTCATTGGTATGTCTTCTTAACGAGGAAAGTACATGTAGAACTAAATAATTATGATGATTTTTGTCAATTTCAGGGATGATGGCAGGTGCTTACACTTGGGGATCAGTGGCAGATTCAATTGGGCGCAAAAAAGTGCTTATTGCCAGCAGCTTCATGAACGCTCTATGCATCGTGGCTTCTAGTTTTAGCCAGTCATATGCGTGGTTCATGCTTTTCAGATTTCTAAATGGGGCGGCGTAAGTATTTTATTATCATCAAGCTAATTAATCCAACAGATAGATACAGCAATTGAATATAAATGTAGATCATGATCTATTTTACAAATTACTGTTCAATCACAGCAATAAGATTATGCATACAATTTCATGATATTTGTCCGTGAGTCAGTTTATTCAGATTTCGAGTTAATTTGCACTTATAGTTATCATCGGGTTAGTAATTCTAGCAAATTTGTATGGACGCCGAAGTGATGGATATTATTTGCATGGCGAAGACGAAAGTTATATTTCGACATTAACAATTCAAATATTCGCTGGGATTTATTTGTTTTAAATAATATTGGGATATTCCACAATATCTTGTTTAATAGCACTGCTAATTGAGTTTACACTTTTACCTGAGCGTATCAACACTTTGCAAACAAGTAGCGGTGAGGCCTTTTAATAATTTTTATTTAATTTCAGATTAGGGGGGAGCGGTCCAGTAATCTGGCCATATTTCGCAGAATTTCAACCCAAGTCCAAAAGAGGATCCATGCTCAGTTTCATGGCAGCTTTTTGGACTCTTGGGAATCTTTTCGTCGCTGGATTAGCTTGGTTGATAATCCCAGCTGAAATTGGAGTATCAACTCCATATTTCGTATACAACTCTTGGAGGATTTTCCTCATCGTAATGGCATTACCATCGTTCGTTGTTGCCATTCTTCTGTGCTTCTTGCCAGAAAGTCCAAAGTTTCTGTTAACAACAGGCAAAACCGATGAAGCTATGGCTATCTTCAAGCACATTTACCATGTGAATACTGGTAACGATGCTGAAGAATATCCAGTTAAACATCTGATTTTGGAAGAAGAATACCAGAAAGCTTTGGACGATGAATCTATGCAGGTTAAGAGAGGCAAGATTATGAAAATGTTATCTAACATCGTTGATAACAGCCGGCAGTTATTTGTCTCCCCAATTCTCAAGTTCACTGTGATTTCTATCACTATTAACTTCACTTTCCACATTGGGTAAGATATTGAAGAGAGTTAGAAGTTTCGTGGTTAACGAATATATTTTGTTCCAGTTACTACGGGCTGATGATGTGGTTTCCTGAACTTTTCAATCGATTTGATGAATACACTCGACTAAGACCAAATGAAACAACTTCGGTGTGCGAAGTGACTCATTTCGTAGTCAATTCTGGAAGTCAACAGCATGGCGCTGTGTGCAACGAGAACATCAGCCAGTCTGTTTTTATGGAATCGTTGATTACCGTTGCTGCAGCACTTCCAAGCAATCTATTTGCTGTTTTGGGAATGGACAGACTTGGAAGAAAGTTCTTCCTAGTTTTCAGTACTTTGGCATCTGGTGGATGTGCAGCTTCCATGTATTTTGTACGGAACAAAACTCAAAACCTCGCCATATCAGCCACTTTCAGCAGTGTGATCTCTTGTGGGAATGCTGCGTTAGATTGCTTGATTACAGAGATTTTCCCTACCAATCTTAGGTAAGTGGTTACAGATTATTTCTCTTAGACGTTCTTTACGTTACCAAATATTCAATTGCAATTTAGCTATATGAAAAACTATTGAAAATTCATTAATTGCTGTCTGTACTTCCCTAGAACCACTTTTCAGCATTAAATATCTAGTAAGTGTTTACATGATGACTAAAACGACTAAGTCGAATGTTAATTTTTATTTAAATCTTAATTACGCAGCTTGCCTTGATAAAGCTGTTATTATAATGAATCGAATGCAATTCCGTCGCATTCGCCCAGGACATGTTCACCATAAATATTTTTTGAAGATTTCAAACGGGCATTAGATCAATTAATTTTACTTTCTCGGACGATCGAAGTGAAGCAAAGCAGCAGAAATTTTTTAATGAAAAGAAACTTTACTTTGTGGAAAAAATACATTTATTATCTGTTGACTGGTAATGGACAATTTTACAATTACCAAGTGATAAATAAATTACCACCTAATTTAGGTTCAAGAAAGTGGCAAGTTTTCAAAGCGTTAAAACGAATTTGGACAAATTTATATATTAATATGGAGGCAATAAAAACATTGGTAAATTCATTCACATGCTGCAAAAAGTGGAGGATGATAAGAGAAAAACAAAGAAATTGCACGACAATAAATTAATTAACGATTTTAAAGCAATAAACTTCAATAATAAAGAAAAACAGCCCACAAAGAAGGCACTAATTTTGATCCATTTAACATCGTAATGGTGAAGTTAGATTGTTATTGTTTTCGTTAAATCGGAACGACACTACATATAGCGATTACATCATTTTAGTTCAGTTCAGGCTGAAATATAACGGGCAGCAACAAAACAACTGCGTTTTAATAATCTGTACTATTTTTTTTTAATTTAATTTAAGTCTCATAGTGCTGAAGTTCGAAAGCTTAAGAATTGAATCCTGCTAAAGTCCAAACGTTTTTCTTATTTGATTATGGTTGGGATTCATTCATTTCCAAATAGTTTGTTGCTTACAGTCAGAGCTTTTTCAATTTAAGTTTTCTATTATTTGGACCTCTGATATCTTCTTTCATTAATTTCCTTTTTCCTCCTTGATCGGTACTTATTAGTGTTTTCATCACTTTCCATATGCGGTTTTTTCCAGTGGTTTCACAAATAGATTTTAAAGTTCTAAAAAGTCGATTTTTTTTAAATAGGACACAATTTTCAGGTTTTTTCAAGTTACTGTTCAGGACTAAACCTGAATAGTAAGGTTTCGAAGATAAAACCGTTTTTTTTCTGCGTTTTCGTCATAGGTGAACCGCCCTGTATTTACGAGGAAATATATTTTGTTTATACGTATTTCTTCCTTTTGTACATAGTAAGATTATTAGACCAAAGGTTGTTTTTCGAAGAGTCGATTTGGCTTATCTGACTTATTCCCAGGGCAAAAGCATAATTAGGGGTATATTTTTAATTAACATGATGTGTTTAGTTCAAAAATTACAAATGGTTTTGACTGTGAGAAGTATCTATTTATAATTCAGAAATTGAGTTGCTGGCTTTACTCTCAACATTTGCTAGCAGATTTTGATTCATATACATACATATTTAAAGCACACCGAAAATACTGTACAGCTACTTATTTATATTCGAATGGTAATGTTGTCGTGAAGCCTCATTTAGGAGTTGAATATTTTTAGCCAAATTCAACAAAATGATTTTTATTTGCACATGACTTAATTATTTTAACTCGTTATGTGCGGAAGTTGTATCAGTTTTACGCATATGATGGTAGTTATTTAATAGTCTTATCTGTTGTCTGGAGATTTTCCAGCTTATAACTGCTGATTTGCATTAAGGAAAAGTGACAACAAATTATAAGCTGTAAATTCAACTCAATTGGATAATAGAGACAAATTTAGAGATAATTTATAAACACACTTTTAAAAAATTCCAATCCAAATGAATAGCATCTCTTTCACGTGTGTATGCACCATAATGAATATTTAATAACAATAAAAGTGGATTATTCTCAGAACTAAAATGCATTAAACCTCATTAAAGAGAGCAACTCCGCATGTAACATTAGTTAAAATGCCTTTGATGGTTCTTAATGCAATAGTATGAAAACAAATGGAATGATCTAATCTGTTGTTACAGAATTGTATAATAAATATTAGCATAAATCTAATAAAAAGTCAGTATAATTTTTTTTCGCTACGCAATAAACTAGCATTTTACATCTATGTTTTAATGAACCACAACAGTTCTCAATGACAATTGCAAATCCTTTACTAGACATTCATACGTAATGTTTATATGTAATTATCCCAACAGCATCTGTATAAATATGAATGAAAATTAGGTTGATGGCTTTTGTTTTTTCTTGCGGAATTTTAATGATACTTTTTTTTCAGAGCCACTGGTATTGCTATATCTATGGTCGCTGCTAGATTGGGAGGAATAATCGGAAACATCGTAATAGCTACATTGCTAGACACGTATTGTCCAGCTCCCACATTTATTGTAGCAGCTTTGTTAATTTGTGGCGGTTTGCTATGTCTTTTCTTACCAAATACCACCCGTGAACCTCTTCACTAACCATTGTTAAATTATTACGAATCTTTTAAAGTTCGAAACAAATTCCAGATAAATAATTGGATATTTGAAAAATATATATTATTTGTTTGATGTTATTCCTATTCCGTTTAAGTGTACGATCGTGTAGATACAGATTTGTATTCTCATAGTAATAAAGTTATTTTAGTATTCCATTTTGTTAGTTTAATTAAGTATTTCTTTTAACTTATATTATCAGGGATGTGTGTTTATTAACCAGACTTCTCTTGGAGATAAACTAGCTGACTATTATAAGAGCAAAAATAAATTTTATTTTCTCGATAAATGTCTTTTATTCACCTGATAGCAAGTTATTTTGGGGCATTCGTATTGGTTAAAACCCTTCCAATAATATTTCACAATTTAATAACTTAAACGAGAAACCTCATTTTGATGAAAGCTTGATAAATGAAAGTTGCATTATACATCAATGTGACATAATAGTAAAACCGTAGGATATTGATTATACTTTGAGGAAAATAACGAAAAATTGGGACGCGCACGGAGTGATACTATTATTTCAACTTCAGTTTGCAAACTTCAAAATATGTAAGGCGATAAACATGGTCGCTTTACATCGGGTATTACAGTGAAAAGTGATGCACCGTTTCAAAGTTTGTTCAAGTGCTTTTGGAAAATGAAAGAAAGCATTTCTGAGGTAGTCAAATGGAATATTTCACTGCATATTTTAAAATAGTTTTCCTAATTTAAGTAATCCTATTCCTTCCAAGTCGTAAAATAACTTATATAGGACTTTTATAGAAATATATTCATATCCGGATTAAATTTCCAATCAATAGTAATTTGTTTTTGGAGCCTTCGGTTTTAAACAGGGCTCATGGTAGGTTTGTATGCACGTATAAATTAGCTGTGCCCTATACATTTTTCATTTAATTATCTCTATTGAAACAAATGTGCACGCTTAAGTTCCCGTCCCATTAAGTGCATAAGTGCCAATTAGATCATCAGTCATCAGTTATTAAAAAAGTCTAAAAGCGAGGTGATTTTCACAGTGGAATTCAATTGAAATTTATATTATATAATATAACGTGTATAATATTCATTACCAGATACAATTATTATTAAGTTGAATCCTAAGGCACTTTTGATTTCATCAATCAATGTCCAAGGACGCCTTTTTTCACTGGCATTTGCTTAGAAACTGTAGTAAATAATACTTGGCTAAACAGAACATCACTTATGATAGCAGATACAGAAACTCCATTCTTTCTAATGAAACAAATATAACCCTTAATTCAAAGGGTCTTTATTTTCAGTGTCCTGTTTTATTGAAAAAGTAATAAATACATTATTAAAATAATCAATAAATACCTAATTAACATAATAGATTCAAGAATAATACTATGACTAAACATTGCAGCATTTTATTTTAACTTCCCTCTTACTAATTAAAGGTAAGCAAGGTCAGGATAAAAAAGTGCTTTCATTAATCAATTTTTATCAGGAATATTTGAAAGTTTTTGAATGCAATAATTTTGTTTGGATAATTTGTGTGATGTTTCAGTATTGCGAGGAGCCACTTTGTGCTTTTTGTTTATCAACGGCCTTTTTCATTCGTGGGGTGACTACAGCTGGAAAGACCCAAGCGGCGCCGTCTGGACGACACTTTACTATTTCCATTCCTTCCTATTCTGGCCTCCGCGTAGGCCGTATTAATAGATACAAGTCTTATGTGAATTTACTTCAAAATATTTCAGGTAAAGTTACTTGTGGCATAATAATCTACAGCTGCTGCTTTTGCAATGAATGTTTGAAAATATTAAATCGCCATGCCGTTTAATCTTTGATTTTGCCTCATTTTATTATAATGAAAATATAATAAAAAACAAATCTCAAATAAAACATCCTGCTTTGAACGTTGCTGACCTTAACACCTTAGCATGTCATTGAGCTTGCAAATCTGGATAGTTTGCTACACGCTAGGCTACACTAATTGATATATCCCAAGGTTGAAAATTTCGTATGTGTTTTCGCATTTTATGTTACTGCTAATAACATTCAAGTATTGTCATAAAAGGCCAATAGTTTGTGTCTCAAATTAAGGATGCTTATTATCCTTTCGCAGTCATATATTTGTCTACTATACAAAATACCGAGGAATATATGCAATAAAAAGTGTTCACATATTCTTAAAACCGAACTAAAAGAGTTGCTTCTAAAGCCATCTGCAAGTCATCATTAAGAACAAACAATAGGTAAAAAAACAATTATTTCACTTCCAAAGGTTTAAACTCCAACCACCTACGACGACCAAGACGTGCTCTTTCCTTCGAAACATGACTTTCACATAAAACTATAAATTTTTCTAAAGTCAAAAACACGGGCAAAATTTAGTGACCCTAAAGATAAGAGGCCAATTTACGAATATTAAATAAGCGTTCCAAAGTTCTTTAAAAGATTTGCCGTCAAAACTGGTTGCATTTATTCCCGGACATCATAAAAACGACAAAAATATATCAAAAGTATTAAAAATATATGCAAAATGACAAAAGATCCCAGGCCAAGTAACCTTTCTCCAAAATTAAATAGCTGTTAATTCGTATATCACGTATCGAAAAGGTATCTTTTATTTCGCTGTAGCTATAAACTTTTTGAAAATAAGTGAATTTTGGAGATAAATCTACTAACGTTTATCTAAGTACTTATTTGTACGGTTTCAACGCATAGAATTGCAGTAATATAAATATTTGAATTTATTTGACGAAATTATGTTTCCGGTTTGAGGGATTTTAGACCATTGTTAAAAGTTGCAGTTTATACAGATATAAATGAATTTTTCATTTTATCTGCTACATTTTGAGCTTATTTGATCCATAGAATGAGGCAAGAGTAAAACCCGGACCGAATTATCTTTCGTAACTTTCGTATTTTCAAGAGTTAGGCTTCTGCGGGTATTGCTTGAAACTGGCAAGTTTTTCCTGTTTTTAGGCCGCCGTGAAATAGAATTTCCTATTCAAAAAGAATTCTATTTTACGACAGCCTGGAAGCTGGAAAAACTCATTAATTTTAACTTATAAAGTAAATAGCAAAATAAGTTGACACCGTGCTCTATTAATGCTATCAGATTTGCTTCAAATTGCATTAGATAACATTCGGTTCTTGAGATTGCCGCTGATTTCAAACTTTTATAGTAGAAAAATTCTAAAGGCATGTGAGCCGAGATTTTTATACATGATTTAAAAAATTGGCGAAAAAATCAATTTCTCCACAAGGTTGTGGTGAGAGGGGAGTTAAAAACACGCTGTAAAAGCGAATTTTCATTGCATGAACGAAGACGGAGCATAAATAGGTGTCGTTCACCACGAGGAAAGCACTTTCGCGTTCTTTGAAAACCCAGCGTCGCAACTAGAATAGATTAAAAATTGTTTGTCATTATACGTTACAATGTTTATCATTGCCTTTACACTCTTACAAATTGAATTTGATTAACCAATAAGCCTGAACAACCAGGTCGAAAGTTTTTTAATTCTCTGACTCCTTTCTCATGAAGCTCTAAATGAAATAAGTATGCCAGAAATGTACTCTAATTGGGGCTGCGAGAACTGTTTCATGTAGCACTTAAACTTCAAAACATGAAATGCCATACTCCAAAAAAATATGCTTAAGCTCATTCATATGTTAAAGACTTTAGTCATCATCAAGCTTTCAGCAATAGCATAACATAGCTATTGTTTCTAAATAAAAATACCTCTACCACTGGGTAAAATATGGATCAGCTTGCTAGGCAAAATATCGACCACCTAATCAGTTCGTTCTTACTCTATCACGAAACGTTTCATTTTCGATGAACTTATTTACGGTTATTCCTCTGTTTAGAAAATCTTATTCTAGAGTAGAAATTATTTTCTATCATAGAATTATTCGGCACATTCAAGGCGAGAAAGCACTTGAGCTTGGACGAAATATTATCCACCGTTCAGAACGTCTGGAAAGGTCCGGAAGCTGACGATTTACGGTAAGTTTTTTGAAACACAAACTTGCTTAATTAAAATAAACATTTGCTGGTTAATTGTGTCAATGTTCCATATACCATCGTAAATCAGCGAGTGGTTAATCTGAGCTCAAATATTATTTATTTGCTCCATCCTCATTTTCAATAGAACTGTATTTACCGGGCTTATTATTAAATATGATATTACTAATTTTAGCAACACTTTTACAATTACGTCATACTTTACGAATAGAAACTGCTTTATTGCTGAAATTAAGCGGTTAATAACACACAAAGCCGTAAACTAAGGAAACATCCTTTTAATGCCAAATGCTCCTTGTTTTATATAAAAAAAACTTGCTCGATCCTGAACATATTTCAGATATTGCAACCTACAGAGTGATATGGAAAACAAGGCTTCTTCCTCAGAAACCCGTTCGCCGATTACGCAAAGAAGAAGACTTAGTGTTCCAGAAACAGTAATGAGAAAGTAAGTAACGGGATTAACTTTTAAATATCTAGCAATGCTCATTTGATTTGAAAAACTGCTCATTCAAATATTTTCCCAAGTAAAAAGTACTTATTTTAGTCCAAAGTAAATTTTCTATGAATATTCTGTCAATACGTTTTACTACGAAATTGATCGCATTTTTATCAGCTTTATCATACTTATTTTCTTAATGTTAAACCACTAAAAAGTTGCTAAAGATAACGAATTGCTCAAGCCCACTGCCACACAGTTTTGCACTTTGTATTTAGTTACCAATGAACCTTTATAGAAAAACAATTTCAGTTTAGTTTATTTCTATTTTGGTTTCTAGATGTAAATATAATTTATTACAATTATTATACAAGGCCGTCCTCAACTAATGTGACATGGAGAATTGCACGATATTGTTTGCGTTTATGCTCAATATGATTTTAAATGCTGCAGAAGACTTCCAAAACAAAAATTTCTTTTTTTTTCGAAACGACAAGCATTTATTAAAGGGATTAATTAATGGATTGAAATCAGAGGATTTTATGTTAAAAAAATTATTATAAAATAATAATTTTCAAAACCTTCGTCCACAAGTCTCCACAAAAAAGCGATATTTTAAAGCCCAAAAAATCCAATTCCACAACAAATCAAAAACAATTTTGTTTTAAATGGCTCCAGACTATTGCAGCTAGCACCCTCTAGGGTCCACAAGCTAGGTGATAGGAAATTTCGATTTGTCGATCTAAAAAACTCCCAAACACAAATTTTTATGGTCACAGAAAAACTGGTCAAGAATTTATTAAAAATAAACATTGACACCCTGTATGTCGGGAACTATTAACTTTCAGATGCAAATTTGACTAAAACGCAATATTTCTGACTAGATATGTTACTGAATTTTGCCACATTAATTGAGGATCACCCAGTATATATTTAACATAATTATAACTAATATTCGGGGGCAAACGGCAAATAACGTTCGAACTTTTCGTTGTAAAAAAGTAAATAATGTTTAAATTTATTTTAATTTTCCTATTTTTGTTTTTTGTATAAGTGTGCCTTTCATACATAAAACACTTTTACCTAATACATCGATGGTATTTATATTTTCATTAGCTTCAAACTCATTTCAGAAGCTTTAGTGAATTTTACTGCCTTCGAAAATGGAGAATTCAATAAAATCTAGTTTAAAAAATATCTCCAGACTATCTGAGCTTTGAATTTGTGACATTCTGTAAAAATAAGTCTCCATTTTTTCAGACATAACTTGGCACTGGAACGGTCCAGCGTTTCTCAAAGTAAACACTTTTCCTGGGACAAAGAAGCAGAATCATGGAGTGACCCAAATCTGAACAGAAAAAAGGATTCTAATATAATAAGGAAGTCCACCCTGCTGCGGCGATTGTGGAGCGATAATTCCAAGCCGAAGTTATATGGAAGTTTTCACGAATGGCAACAGTCGAACAGAAAGCTGTCTTCAACGCAATCTTTAAATTCCAATAATTCAAGTCCAGAACATTTACCGAGAAGATTCGATCGTTCTTCGCCACATAGAAAATTCAGTTCAAGTCCTAGTAAATTATCTAGTAAATTTACTGAAGATCAAAATACTGCGCTGTCGCCTAAAAGAAAACTGCCTGTTCTGCAGAAGACATCCAGAACATCACAATCTCGAGAAACTACTATCAAATATACTGGATCCAGTTTTACCAATATGTCAGACACAAATTCGGATTCGGCATATTCAAATAGCATTTCACATTTCACAGAATCTGCAAGTTCAAGATCTAATAGCAAAGGAATTCAATCAGATGAGAATAGTAACAGATGCAAAGAAAGTAAGCGCTTGGTGAAGGAAAGTGGTGCCCAAACTCGGGATGTGACCAACTTAAACGTAATTTCAAATATTAGTCTAAGTCAGTCAACGCTAGATGTAATATTTAAAGAGGTTATGAAGGACGTCGGAAGAGTGCCTGCTGGGAATATTAATATTAATACTGCTGCTGTTACTTCGGACCAAGAGCCTGCTTTAAACAATGATAACTCGCCTAGATTTTTTATTGATGCAACTTCAGATGTAAATTTTAATACGAGTGGAGATGTAGAAAAATTGATAATTGGCAAAGTCCGAACAGGCAGTCCCTACTCAAAACCCGCAGAACTAAACCAGCCATTGGTTCCGAGATTTTCCGCATTTCCTCGCACCTCCTCCATGGAAGTTAATACTAGTGAAGAAGATAAAGAAGACTCAGAAACTCTCAGTTTTGTGGACAGTCTTGAAGATTTTACTTCTCCTAGAACTATGTCCAATAGTTGTACAAGTTTTTCCGATGTTGCTCAATTATTACCGGAAGGTAAAAATGATGAGTCCTCAAGAAAGTCTTCCACGTTTTTTATTCCAATACAAGTTAAAACTGATAACGCTGACAAAAGTGTATCGGAACTACTTCCAAATAAGGTAAGGGAACGACTAAACGAAAGACAGCACCAAAGAGAAGAGAAATTGAAGCAATACAGGAACAGTAGTCAGTCGACCACTAGCAATGTTAGCATAATAAAGAATACCTTAAACTTCTCAAATCACCTGCCAAAGAAGAAGGTGAAGCCAATTCTCCCTAGTATAGCTTCGTTGAAAAAAGCCTCTATAAAGGAGAAGAAAAGTGAGCACCAGTCGAGAAGGAAACACGCTGAGTTGACCAGAAGTAGGAATGATGGCACATTTAGGGCACAAGCAAAGGACATAAACGCCGAGCCCAGCAAGGATGCCCTTATAATTGCAAGAGGAAGAAGAGAAATTCTACAAGTGACAGAAAGCGCTGAGCTGTCTCCTGATAGAAGCAGGAAATCAAAAATACCAATTCCTGTTTGCATCTGCTCGAGCTCAAGAAAAGTGCATTTTGACAAACCTTCTTATTTAGATTTCGACAATTACGCTTCAGATCCCAAAGTCGACCAGTTAATTGCTAATATTTTAATAGACTCCCTCAATCATAACACAGGAATTGATAGATCCAACGAGGGAAATAGCTCGAACTATCCTAAAGATAAATCAAGTAGTGGAAATAATGGCAATACACGTCCTCGACATTCACTTCCTGACGAAAGTACAAAGCAACTAATCGCATTGAAAAACAACAATTTAAGCAATAACAATAATGCACTGCCTGAACTAAATGGAAACTCATCGAAAAACAATAATTCCTCTATTCCGAAAGGATGGGTGACAGTTTATACAGTGCGTAAGGACCTGGAATCGCCCGAAAGCACTTCAGACGAAGGTATAAATCTTTCTGCAAAATTTCCAAAGCATTAAAAGTAACTTACATTAGCCCCGTACACCGCACATAACATATTATAGTAGAGAATCTGTGTGGTCAAGATATTACGCGTGGTTTTATTTAGGAAAGAAATATTTGATGGCTACAAGTGGAGCTGCGGATAGTGTACGAGAGCGGCAATATTATGAGAAAATCGTCCCTTGTGACGAAAATTGTGATTACCCAAAAAATAGTTTTATACCTTCGAATCGACACGAAAAAGCTACAGCAGAAACGCGCTTAGATATGAATTATTTAAACAAATTTGAGAGCGCTAGGAAATCGACTAAAAGAGACAGTCAACAAGAAAAAACCTCTTTAGGTAAAGTCCATGCAAAGTCAATTGAGACAGTATAATATATTCTGCCGAATGTTAGCTGGCTAGCGCTTGTATGTTTTCTTAATTGACTTTGCATAACGTACGGCAAGCTAATCATGCGGCGACAGTTTCACGTTAAAATTCAGTATAAACTGCACACAGCAATTTAATTACAGGAGAATGGTCAGTAACAATAAGCGGAACCAATACGTATGGACAGGCTGCTCCAGACGTGGAGATGAGGCTTAAGTTTCCGAAAAAGCATCGAACGAATTCATATTCGAGCTTCGAGAAAGAGAACAACCAAAACAGTCATTGCAGATTTCCGAAAATTGATGCTGACGCAACAAAATTAAATTGTGAAAGGCAATACCAAAAAGGTAACTTTAATTTTATTTCATTAGTCAAAATGTTTATAAACCTGTCCAAAAAAGTTTCTTATAGTTCTTGTCAGTCGTATTACATACGTTGGTTGGCTTTACAAACAATTTTTTTTTTTAAATTCATTATCGCTTCAGTATCATTGCTTAAAATAATTCCCTTAAATCGGTAAATCAGTTAATTTTCAGGATTTGGCACAGTGTTTCCGGAATAGCTTTTTGCACCAACGTACCGGCAGTTGCGTTGCAGTGACCCATTCCTTAAAATATTGCTCCAAAAAAATAGTGATGAGCAAAGCAAGACCAAGACCAAGACCAAGACGTGCATGGTATTGGTCTTGGTCTTGTTCTTGCATACATAGTCTTGGTCTTGCTGCAAGTCTTACTTTTATATAACCCGTAAAATTAGACGGAATTAATTTAATAATAACAAGAGTAATAATTAAATTAAAAGATAATAATAATCAACACGAAACAATTCAAAAAATCTCAGACCGTTTGCTATTTTAATATATTTAATTATTTTGTAATTCAAAAGTGTTGACCCGTATTTTTTGATTGTCTATTAAGATTCAAAAGATCTTCATCCAGATAAATTAAATATATTTTCATGTAGTGTAATTTACATATATTCTAAATAAACCATATACCGAAAACAATGAATAATATAAAGTAAGTCGTAGATATTTAAATATTTTAATTGGGCTTACACAATTTTACTGATAGAAAACAAACTCAATTATTAATAATGCACATGATGCGTCGCAAGGATTAAATTATATTACTGTGTATACAGCAACTGTATGTAAGGGCTCTGGCAAGGGATATTGGAAAAATAATTATTAGAGTGTAGATTGTAAACCGTTGTACTGTTTTATAGAATGTGCATAATAAACACATTAGTCACACACAAAATAAAAAAAACTAATACCGCAAAAGCTATAACTTTGTTAACAGGTTGATCTTGATATAAATAAATGAAAAAACGTATCCAGCTGAATTTAGAGTGGGAGATTATGCCCAGCTTTCCACACAAAGAAGTGACAAATATGCGCCGAGTAAACCGATACCGCAAAAGCTGAAATTTGGCAGCTAATAGTTAACTGAAGAAGTTAAACTTATTACTTACTTATTCAGTTAACTATTAGTTTCCCAAATTTCAGCTTTTGCGGTGTCGGTTTACTCAGCGCATATTTGTCACTTCTTTACGTGAAAAGCTGGGGCATAATCCCCCACTCTAAATTCGACAGGACACGTTTTTGCACTTATTTATATCAAAATCAACCTGTTAACAAAGTTACATCTTTTGCGGTATTAATATTTTTTAAAGATTATTTTCCGTCTTTGGGAGACTGCCGCAGCTACAGCCCCCGGAAGCGCACCAGCTGGAGGTCCATTCACTTACTAGTCATGCCAAATTAAGCTTAGGAAAATTTTTCAGCTTTTGTGCTTTTGGTCATTAAAAAAGATCGCGGGATCCCGGGCTAAAACATTAATACGAGCCGCATGATTCGCAAGACTCTTGCAAAAGTCTTGGTGTTGCAGGACATGGTCTTGGTCTTGGTCTTGCAAACCAAAGGCAGTATTTACTCATCTAGTTCATCTCTACTCAAAAATGTGGTGATTTTTTTTATTAGGTGTTGAAATTCCAGTTCCGGGCCTCGTAAAGCTTTAATCCGCCCCTGGGTTAAATGCCAAGGGTAATTAAAAGTGCGGCACAGTGCGACCCGATGAGTTATAATCAAAAATTTAGAAACGAAAAACACTACAAGTTTAGAGTTATGCGTTCCGTAAACAGGAATGCGCTCTAAATGTAGTCAAAATTCCTTCAAACCTTCATTAAACGGCATAAAATCCTGAATTTTGCGCGCTTTGTAAATGTGGATTTGAAAATGAACGCTTTCACGCAATTGCACACTCTTCAATAAAAAACTCCGCCTTCCAAAGTAAAGCTACCAGAAACTTGAAAGATTGACATTCTGTAAGAGACATTCTGACGAAGCCTGCACCTAATTCTCTGATATTCAAATTTCATGTGACTTTTTGTGACAAAATCCACCCAAATTTACTCACGCACGTTGTTATAGCTGAAACGAAATACCAATTTTCTATCCAATTATATAAAAAAGAACTCTGTGGCTCAAAAAGTTCTTGAGAAACGTCAAAAAAGTTTTGAGTTTGATTTTGCAATTACAAAAGTAAAACTTGACTTTCTTAACAAAAAACATAAAACTAGAACCCATATTTCCATATCTGAAACGATTCTTTGGAGACAAGCTTCAGATGAGCCTGATGTAAAAATACAAAGGCGCCCAAAATATTCCCAAAGTTTAAAAATTTCTTGTGAAGGAATCACTAGTTTAATCGGAACCAAATCCAAACTCAGTACGCTGATGCTAATTGTATTGAACACTAGAACCCCAATTTCCATATCTGAAGCGGTTATTTAGCGAAATCTTCGGATGTGCTTAATATAAAAATACAAAGCCGCCCACAATATTTCCGTAGTAAACAAGTCAAACATAGTCCACAAGTATAAAAATTAACTACGAAAGAACCAATAGAGCTATCGATACCAAATTCACCGAACGAGTCAGTTGATGAATATGGGACTGAAAATTCTACATGTTAATGGCAACCAGGGGCAAAGCAATGCTACACTTACCGACAGCTGAGTTGTGCCACCTAGAAAGAAAGAAGAAAATGTGTAGTACAGCAGGAAATCTGTCCAAAGCCAAACTTATTTCAAATCAGCAATGCAAAGAGAGTGAAATATAAAAAACTCATAAAACTTCAGTTGCTTGTCGGCAAACTAAACTCAGTTCAAGCTAAAATATTTATATATTAGAGATCATTCTTACCAGCTTTTTACAAGCTGGCTCCCATCCTCCATTTTCTACCCATTAACCAAGAAGTTCACTACACTTACAAACTACCGCACTTGCAATAAGGGCCACATTGATTCTATATTTCCCATCTAATAATACGATTATCGCCCGATTTCGTCTACTGTCGATAGCAAACTGAACATTGAGACATATTTTCGCGAAAAAAAGACACCGAAGTACGGATTGAACATGATTATTTAATCATTTAATTGTTCGCCCTTTCGATGATTCATGCTTTGCTTTTCAGTTCGATTTCAGTTTGTTCATTTTTGACATTTTTGTAGAAAGTGCATGTTCGCACGGCAATATTTCCAAAGGCATATTTAACGTTCCAATTTAGCGAAAGTCAACAACAACTAAACGAAAAACGGTCCAAGTTCCGATCTTTCACTAATTTAATTTTAAATTTATATTTGTCTGAATTTCAATCCGCTGCAGTGATTGATGCACAACGCCAAATCTAAAATTAATAACCGAATTAATTTTGCAACTGAAATTTAAAAACGAAACTGATGCTCAACTTCCGAGCGATGATAGAAACCAACGAAATGTCAACTAATTAAAAATGTCACTTAAAAGTTCTGATTTCAAGAATTATTCCGCTTCGAGGTGTGGCGCAGTGAGGCGATGAGTTATTATTCACCAACTCACAGAGCGGCATCAACTCAAAAGCGCAGTATTAAAACACAGTGTTAGCCCTAATGCTAATCTAATAAATAATCTAATCTAATTTTTCAATTTTATATGCACTAAGAACAGGGGTTTATATTTACTAGAAATTTCTAGAAACCCTTGTTACAGTAACTAGTCGAAGAATCTCTTCTATAACTGAATTTTTGAGAACTTTCACTTGAACGTCTTCTTAAAATAAATACGTACAGTTAATAGCCTACTCAATACTTTCAAATACATCTAAAGTTCCAACTAACTATTACAGAGACACTGATTGTTCATGGTCGATAATATGAAATAAAGTAGTTACGTATTATTAATATTGTAATTTAGTTTGTTACTTAATTTTTGTAAAATTTGTGATCTCAATTAAACCAAGGACCAATCACTTTTTCAGATGGTGAAAGATATACGTTCGTTTACTTGGTTTCACAGTTCAAGCATCTACAGTAACCTGCGCCCACGACTGGCATATTTGTATTGCCTTAATATCTATTTAATTTTTGGTTGTGTGCTTATATAGTGCTCTAAAACATATATTTTATTACTCTGATGTGTTCTTTCTGGCAGGGAACTTTCTTTCTTCATTTTGCAATACAAAAATACAAAAAATATTTGTATTTCCCTAGAGCGGGAGTCTTTAAAGTCTCTTCTCTAGTATAACGTATTTATTTTTTTCTTATTAACTTCTTTTAGTGAATTTTGTTGAATCTTTCAATGATGTTTTTTGCTTTCAGAAAAGTCCCAAAATTATGATAACTTGCCTAAAATTAAAAATACTCGAAGAACGCGAAAGGTAATTGTGAGACACGAATGGATTTTAAACCGAGTTTTTTAAACAAAATTTCTTATTTTGCAGAGAGAAGGATCTGTGCTGTCTATGTCATCTTCAGTAATGATTCCTAGACAAACTAAAACCAGTACTAGCAGATACCATTTTTCAAGACCTCGGGAGCGATTTTCATTGCCGGAAGTGCCTTCAATGTTAAATGAAAGGTATTAAAACAGACATTATTTGAAAAATCCTACTGTTAATTTCTGTACAATTTTAGACAATGTTTTGATATTATGAAGCAGATTCCCGACATACTGGCAGTCACAGGTCGATCCATCAGTCCGGAACTTAGACCAATGGAAGAGAGATGAACCAATCAAATTGGCGATTTATTTTTTGAAATGTACCATATTCTGTAAAATAGATATTTTACTGCAAGCTCAAATCAATCACTGCATAATATTTATTTGATGCAATTCTACATAGTTTAACAAACTCTATTGAATCCGAAACTGGTAAGATTCTGGAAACTTTTTGTCGTCGTGGAATAATTAAATTAAATAAAAATTAAAAAATTTACATATTTTAGCGGTTTAACAAACATACATAGTCGATCATTATGAAGATCGGACGGAGTGAAACTTGAGTATGAAACTAATTCACTTTCTAATATTCCAGTCAGATTAGGCTTTTAAAGACCTGTTTCGGTCGCTAAATGGATAAAGGTGAAATATTATTGGTTATTCAGAAAGATCTGAGAATATTGGGGCAAAAGTTTGCTAGTGATTTCCCGCTGTGCAACATTGTTCAATAATCAAATAATCAAAGAAAGTGCGAAAAACCACCTTTTGCACATAACTTTTGAATCGTTGATGCTATTGAAAGAAAGTTTAATACTTTTTTTCAAGTATTAAAAATGCCTGCACTATGAGATAAACTAAATTACAATCCGTTCATTTGTTTCCGCAAGAAACGAACAAAGCGCAGATTTTAGCTAGCGTTTAGCGATATTTCAGAAATTATTTTTAGATAAAATTTCGATCGATTACTTAATTGCAACGTTTTTTTCTCAATTTGCTTTAAATAATAGTTAAACGCTTAAAATCTTCATAAAAAC